CAGGTCGTTTGCCGCTGCCCTGGGCGGCCCCCCGCCGCGTGCATGGCCTCGGCGCGCTGTTTGCAGCGGAAGCTGAACCAGGTGTGTAGGTCCGCCCGCGCGCGGGATCGGGCTCCGACACTTCGCAGCATGGCTTGTGCTCGGTGCTGCCTTTCAGCAGCTGCGGCTGCCTTAGCAGCAAGCTTCAGCGAAGGCGGACCCAGGTGCGTAGGTTCGCCCACTCACGGGATCTGCTCTGCCCATGGGCAATGCAACCAGTCCTGTGTGGGGCCTTGAGCCGATGGACACGTTGCTCTGCTGATGGGTCTCGTCTGTGCTGCTCTCGCCTTCTTTTTTGCGGCGCGCTCCGTGCCCTGGCTCTGTCTCTTGCCCCCCCCTCCCTTTCGGTCGCCCTGTCTGGCGGCGCTGGTGCTTCGCAGCCAGCCCTGGAACTCGGGCCGCGGGGTTCCGCCAGACGGGCGATTATTTGCTCTGCCCTTGGCAGGCCGTTTGGCGGCGCTGGTGTCTCGCAGCCAGCCCTGGAACACGCGCCCCGGGGTTCCGCCAGTCGGGGGGCGGCGTGAATTTCTTCCTCTGGGAAGGGGGGGGCTCGGCGCGGAGGCGGCCTAGGTTTGCCGGGCCGCTTCGACCGTCGCCGCGCCCCCCCCCCCCCCCCCCGCCTTATTGTTTGCGTCTGGCGAGGTCGCCTGCCTTGGCCAAGGTCGCAGGCTCAGTGACCATGCAGGCCCTCTTCAGGGGTTCTTTTTGGAGGCTGACCCAGGTGCGAAGGTCCGCCTCTCTCGGGAACGCGCTCCTCACCCTCAGCAATGCAACTAGTCAGTCTGTGGGGCCTGGTGCCAGTCGACGGATTGTTCTGCTGAAGGGAGGGGCAGTCGTGTTTGCCTCCGTCTCGGCGTGCATGCGCGCCTCTGCTCAACGTAGCCGCTGGCGCGTTTCGCGTCAGTGCCCGCCCGCCCCTCGACGTGTAGGGCGACCCGAGAGCGTGGGTCCGTCCGCGCTCTGGTACGATCTCCGCAGGTCTGAGGAGCAACGTCGGTCAGGCGTGGCTTGTGCCTAAGGGTCTAGTTGCTTCTGCGGCGCGGCGTACAGATCAGCTGCGCCCCAGCATGCCTGACCGCGCAGCGTGGCCATGCCAACTGCCGTGCGTGCTGAGTCGATTCGATTGCTTTGTGCGGTCACCCGCTTGCCTCGGCTGTGGCGGTTGATTGCTCTCGGCACTCGGGCGATCCGCGCGTGTGCGCCGAGGCGCACGAGACCGAGAGTTGCCGCCGCAGGGCCAAAGGGAACCGCCTCGGTCCGAGGGGCAGCACGAGCTAGGAGTTCCTGGCCCCTTTAGACGCGGGGATTATCATCATCATCATCACCATCATCATCATCATCATTATCATTACCATCAGCACCATCATTCTCAGCATCATCATCATCGTGGCCGTCATCATCATCACCAGCGCCATCGCCACCATCATCGTCGTCGTCTTCCTCACAACCCTCGCACGCTTCGTGGCCCCATAGGGGGCTCCACCTCGGGTCCCACTGGCGCAGTCCGCACGGCGGCGCCGCCCCATTTTGGCACACCCCTCGCACGCTTCGTGGTCCCATAGGTAGCTCCTCCTTAGGTCCCAGCGGCGCAGTCCGCACAGCGGCGCCGCCCCATTGTGGCACACCCCTCGCACGTTTCGCGGCCCCATAGGGAGCTCCACCTCAGGTCCCAGCGGCGCAGTCCGCACGGCGGCGCCGAACCCATTTTGGCACACCCCTCGCACGCTTCGCGGCCCCATAGGGAGCTCTACCCCAGGTCCCAGTGGCGCAGTCCGCATGGCGGCGCCGCCCCATTTTGGCACACCACCCGCGCGCCTCGTGGCTGCATAGGGAGCTCCACGCAAGGTCCCAGTGGCGCAATCCGCATCGCGCTGCCGCTTCATTTTGGCACCCGTCACACGCGCTTCGTGGCCCCATGAGGAGATCCATCGACAGCGATACTAACAACGACGGCATTCACAACTGCATATGGTTGGGTCTTTCGCCAGGCTAGGCGTGCCTCCTGGGAGGCTCTTGTCGCCACCGCTGGATTCTCGTTGAAATTCGGGTCAGCACGCATCCCGGGAGTGGTCCGGGGAACAGGGACTTGTTTTCGTTTCCGCACACAACGACGACGACGATCGAAGAGGAAGGGGGCCGCCGCCGCCGTCGCATAGGCGATGCACGCGCGATCTAAAGCATAATGAAATTGAGCCGCAGGCGAATCATGATCGGATGAATTAAACTCAACGGAATCAAACCCGATGAATTTATACCGGGCGAAATATGACCAGAATAATTACAGACCCCGGCGAATTCAACCGGATAAATTCAAATTGGGCGAACGAAATCCGGACGAATCTAAACGGACGTTTTATAAACGGATGAATTTTAATTCGACGAATCATAACCCGATGAAATCTTCAACGGACGAATTGTTACCAGATAAATTGAAGCAGGACGATGCAAAACCGGACGGTTTTCGACCGGATGAAATTGAATCTGACGAGTTCCAATTGGGCAAGTTATAAGGTGATCAAATATTTCGGGCGAGCGAAACAAAAGGCACATCCAAATCGGATACATCTAAATTGAACGAATTAAAACTGGATGAATTTCTAATCTAGGCGAAAACAAAACGAAATAATTCAAACCCAGGCGAATTTTAACTGGATGAATTCTAACCGGATGACATTGAACGGTTGACAGTCCATTGATGAGTTTAAACGGGTGAAGTTGAACGGATGAACCAAAACGGGTGATACTACATCCGGTTGCAATACAGGAGAATGTTGCCAGGCATTTGTATTTAGCATGTCGAGTTGTCGGATTTGGCGTACTATGCTTCGGCACTGTCCAGCTTCCAAGCATTCACGTTTCGAGTTTTTCCCAGCCCGTTCCGCGGAACAGGGCGATATGCCATCATGCATAGCGTCGTCGCCGCGACGCGCTAAGCAGAAGGTCCAAACCATATGGGGAGGAACAAAATTAATGGAGAGGAAAAGGCGGGGGATAATGAGAGGGGCTGGAGCCCTCTTCTCACACGCTTCCCCAAGCTTCCTTGTACCTCGGCCTCGGTGCCGACAACGATTACCAGACCGCCGCTTTCCCGAGCGATCAGGCTTGGAATGATGGCGCGTTTCAACACAGGGCGAAAGCTGTAGTAGCCCATGGGGGCCAGCCTTCAGAGGTTCAACAGAGGGCAGCAATTGCCTCCGCCATGCACGCCACTCATGATTAGCGCTGCCTGGTAGGAGCTGCGTCTCTCAGGTTGGTCAGTTCTCCCCCCTCACTCGTCCCCCTCTCTCCTGAGCCTTTCCCGTAACCGCTCCTCATCCTACCCGCCCCCACACGCGCGGGGATGCAGCGAGGGAGGGGAGGAGGAGGAGGAGGAGGAGGAGGAGGAGGAGGAGGAGGAGGAAGAAGATGAGGAGGAGGAGGAGGAGGACGAGGAGAATTAGCAGGATGAGGGAGGAGGAAGAGGAAAGGATGAACGATGGCGCACCAGTTCGAACACTGTTCCAGTCCGCGGGATGCAAGCTCCCGCCAGGTCAATCTCGAAAAGCGGGAGGTGTCGCTTGTGAGAAAGAGAGGTGGGGAGATTATCTCCCTCCCTGGCGCGGTCTGTGGGGACCCGACTGGAAAGCAAAAACGGGACGTGTTGATAAGGGCGAGGTTCACCCCTTCTGCACTCCCGCAGACAGAGAGACCCCGGCTGTACACACGCTTTGGCCTGCGTGGTACGGTGCCCAGGGCAACGACGGCGCCATCTTGGGGCATCCCCTGCGGCGGCCCATGAAGAAGGAAACGGAACATGTGCCAGTTGTTCTTGGAGTCTTGTTGGAGAGATGAGGCGCTAGCACTGGTGTGCCGCGTTTTGAGCAGCAGGGTATGCCTGGAGGGATGCCCCGAGAGGAACAGCAGGTCGGAACGTTTGCCGAAGGCCGTCCCAGGCAGCTTGTGCTCGATGGAGCTTGTCTAGCAGCGGGGCAGCCTCTTCCTGGATGTGCTGGAGAGAGTGGGCTAGGTGGTTGGCCCGCTGCTGGAGCGCGTTGCTGCTAGCGATGAGGATCGTTTCGCGATCATCCTCTGGCTGTCGTCTGGTCGCTGAGAGGTGCTGCGTAAGGGATTGCCTTCGGTCCGTTCGCTGGGTCCGCGTCCCACAGGGGCCTGTTCCGTCGTCGGTCACTGTCCGTTCGCTGCTCCCCGTGCCCTGGTGGGAGAAGGAGGTGGCCTGGTGGTGAGGGAGACTCGCAGTGGCGCCTGATTATGTTGACCGCGGGCGGCTTGCACCTGGCCGTCGGAGAGTCGCGGATGACACGCGACGCGCCGTGGTGAGCGTCGTGATCGCTGTGCCCGTCACTGTTGGGACCTTCGGAGGGAGAAGCCTCATTTATTCCATGTTCGTTCAGGGAGGCGCCTAGCCCGAGCGGGTCTGCTTCTCGCCGCCGAAGTCATCGAACAGGCCCGTCCATGGATCATCGACGTGATCGAAGTAGTCGGGCCCTAGTGGACCGTCGAGATGTGAGCCTGGTGGCTCGTGGCCGCCGTGACCACTGTTGAGAGGGTTGGGCTGCATCTTGATAAGTTCAGACCCTGGGTCGCCCCGCAATTTTGTCTGGCAGGGTAAACGCTTGGTGACGCTGGTCATAGATCGCGAAAGCCGTGCTGTGGAGGACGGCAGCGAACGGGTATCGCCATTTAGCTGCGTCGACGAGGCTTTGTGCTGTTCAGGCGTGCGCCGGCCGTGGCGGGTTCATTTGCGTGGCGGTTGAATGCGTCGGCGATCGGCGTGATACACCCCTCGTTGGTGCTTTGTTCGTGCTTTGTTCGGAATGGATGAAAGATGAGAAGCAGGAGGAGGATGAGGAGGAGGAGGAGGAGGGCAGGGGCAACAGGAGGAGAAGGAGGAGGAGGAGGAGGGAGAGGTGGAGGACGTGTTGGGACTGCTGACGCCCACCCCCCTCCACCACCCTCGCCAGGACTGCGAGGTCTCCGGGTGGACTCCCGAGGACTGCACCGCGGATTGCGGCGGGGGGGTGCAGAACGTGAGCCGCTCCGTGGTGGTGCCCCAGAGCGGTGGCGCGGCCTGCCCGCCGCTGATGATGCAGAGGCCTGCTGGGGGAACCTGTCGGGTCTGGGGGGGACCTCGACGAGGATCGGGTTGGGGGATTCCGAGGATCAGAGGAGAGGGTCGAGCGTCGAGGTTTTGTGGACGTCATTGTGCCGTGCGTGGCCTTCCCAGGATTGCTCTCGTGGCCGTGGTGCGCCCCAGGTGAGGTCTGCCGAGAGATTGGGGGGAGGCGGGCCTCAGACCCCCAACCGCTCGAAAAAAATCTTGACGGTTCGCATATCCCCACCAGCCCATCCAGAAATTGCCCAGGGAAGTTGAGGTGGTCAGGGAAATGGGGGAGCATGTAGAAGAAGAACAAGAAGAAGACAGGGCGAGGGAAGCCGTCCGATGTTTTGGAGGGAGAGGAGGGAGGAGGGAGGAGGAGGAGGAGTCGGCGGATGAGGAGGATGAAACCTCGAAGTCAAATCAATGAAATCATACAGTCAAGTAGTTATTTCGCGTATGACTCACCGTTCAAAGTTGGCGTGGAGGCGTGTGGTGCCTCCCTTGAAGTGTCGGCCAGACGTAAGGTGCCCGGGCCTTAATGTTTGGGGGACCTATGGTGTCCCACTTTGCCCACCCCGTCCCGCACACAGGGACTTCGCACCCTCCCCTATGGTGGGAGAGTGTGTGTGCGGGCCGCCCTGCCCCCCCCTGACGCCGCACGCACTGCGCCAGGGGTGGTGGGAATTTCCATTGAAGGCAATGAGTTCCATGAAGTCCCTCTCGCCCGTCCCCCCCGCCCACACCTGGTCGCCGTTGAAAGCCCTATGGTGGCCTCCGGTGCGGTCGGGTGGCATCGCCTATGGTTGCTGATGCACACGGCCCGCTGCCGAACCCTACGGTGGCTCTGGTCAGGGGGACGGCGCAAAAGGAGCGAGGCGGTCCACAGGCGGGGAGTCACGCCGCAGCCGCCGCCACCTCGCGGCGTCACGCCCCCGTCGAACACCTCGCTCTTATTTCCCCGAGGAGGAGGGAGGAGTGAGTGAGGAGGAGGGAGGAAGGAGAAGGGAAGGCGGGACAGGGGAAACAAAGCAGAAGGGGCGGAGGAGGAAGAAGCCGTCCCAAAAACGTACCCTCCCTTCTCCATTGAAGTCCATGAGTTTACTGGAGTCTACGCTGGGCACTAGACGACCAGCAGGGGATGCAAGTCCCGTTCACGGTCCAAGAGGTTGAATCTTCGAAGTCGATGAATGCATACAGCCAATTTGTTATTTCGCGTATGACGCAAAGTTCAAGGTTGGTGGGGAGGCGTGTGGTGTTTCCCCTGAAGTGTCGGCCAGGCGTATGGTGTCCGGGCCTTACTGTTTGGGGGACCTATGGTGTCCCACTTTGCCCACCCCGTCCCGCACACAGAAACTTCGCACCCTCCCCTATTGTGGGAGAGTTGGCGTGCGCCCCCCACCCCTGACGCCGCACGCACTGCGCCAGGGGTGGTGTGGATTTCCATTGAAGGCAATGAGTTCCATGATGTCCCTCTCGCCCGTCCCCCCCACCTATGGAGGAGAAGGGCGAGGAAGAGGAAGAGGACGGGGAGGTGCAGGAAGAGGAGAAGGAGGAGGAGGAAAAGAAGGAGGAGGAGACGGAAAAAGGGACGAACATGAATGCCTCCTCGGATGTCTCGTTGGAGTTTTCTGGAGGCCTCCTGGATCGTCTGGGAGGCATCTTGGGATCCTCTTGAAGCCTCTTGGGGGCCTCTTGGGAGCCTCTTAGAGGCATCTTGGGCGCCTCTTGGAGCCGTCTAGGCGCCTGTTGGGGCCCTCTTGGGGCTCTCCTGGGTGCCTTGGGAGCGCTCTTCGGGCCATCTTGGAGGACATCGATCAAACAAGTGCGGGTTCTCCATTCTAGAGTGGGCCCCTCTTGGGCACCTCTTGGGGCGCTCTTGGAGCGCTCATGGGCGCTCTTGGGGCCGTCTTGCGGCTCTCTTGGGCCCATCTTTGGGCCCTCTTGGAGCCATCTTGAGACCTCGGAATGCCATCAGAAGCGGAAGAGCGATAAAGCCAACACCATACATTTTACCCAGGTTGTGGACGGATGTCGGTCTCTTCGGGGTTTCTTTGGGGAGCTTTTTGGCAACTTGGAGCCGTCTTGGAGCGGTCTTGGGGCCTCTTGGAGCATCTTGGGGGCCATCTTCAGGGATCTTTGGGTATGTTGAGCCATCTTGGAACTCATCTTGGTCTCTCCGAGGCGCTCTTGGAGCCATCTTGGGCCATCTTGGACGCTCCAACCCCTCGCGGGACCTCCCGTCCAGGTCAGGAGAGGGGGGGGATTAAGCTACCCAACCGCCCGCAAACCGTCTAGCTCACTCCCACCCGCCATCCCAGCACATAGTAGCACCCGAGCCTCGGCATGTTCAGCGCTCGTTTGTGGATGGGCAGCTACTGGGAACCAACTTCGACCCCATGTGCGCGACGCTGGGGCCAGAGCGTGCCAGGCACGTCTGGTGCACCAGATGCGCCACGTGCTCCACGGAGGTGCGCCACGTGTGCCAGGGGCGCCACGCGCGCCAGGCACCCCTGGGGCACGAGTGCGCCAGGTGTGCCGCGCATTCCTGCCGCGCCAGGGGGCACGTGCAGAGTGCGTCAGGTGCGCCTGCGCACGTGACAGCACACGTCGGGAAACATGTCGGCCCCCGCCATCCTTGTCGAAAACCAATGCCCATCATTATGTCTGGTGGGCTTGCGCGCAGCAGGCCACTCGCCACCCCCCCCGCCGTCCCTGTTAAAAACCATTTGACAGTGATCGCGGGATGGCCGCGCACGATCCAGATTCAGCCGCGATATTCATGTTGTATTGTTTTTTGGTCAGGGATGGTATCCCTGCGCACGGCAGGGAGTAGTCTGGCACCCCCGCCGTCCTTGTCAAAAACAATACAAAGTGTTCGCGGGCCTCACGAACATGATTCAAGCCTTTGCCCGAAAGTGTACTTTGCATTGTTTTGTTGGCAGGGATGGTGGTGGGGGGGCGCATCGGATTGGCCGCGCATGCTCCAAATGTGGAGGCAGAGTGCGCTTCGCATTGTTTTTTCGAAGAGGTGGTGGAGGATGGGCCCTCATGGACTCTGCATGCTCCCTGGTTGGACGCCGGCTGGGTGGGGGAAGGGGTGTATATTAACGCGGAACAGTGGTACACCCCTTCCCCAAGGGGAAGAGGGGCATTTGGAAGACAAGGCGCGGTAGACCACCAATGCCCGAAAGGGTTGGTGGGATTAGAACGCGGCTTTAGGCCTGACGTTGTTGGTCTCCGGGGCGCCGCTATCGGGCTACAGGGCCAGCCACTCAGGGTGAAGATGTGGCCCCTTGGGAAGAGGTTGGAGGTGTCGGGGCACGCGCATGGACAACATCAGGACGGGATGTATCTCACCCTTTTGGGGGGCCTCTTGGGGCACCCTCACCGCCACGATCGGGTCTCGGGTCCGCCTCGCCACTCTGGTCGCACTACAACTCAGGAGAGGTCTTGGGTCCGTCCGTAGTCGCCGCCGTAGGGCGGAGTGGGATTTACACGTTTTTGTTTTTCATCGTTGTGCCTCTTGGGTAGCTTTCTTGGCTACAGCTAAGCAAGGCGCGAAACACTACGCGGGATGGCGTCGAGGAAGGGTCTGGGGCCCGATTTTGAAAAAAGTGGTCGGGCCGACCAATACTGCAAGGGTAACGGCCAGTTTTGTCCAGGTGCGTGGCCTGGGATGACACATCTGTCACAGGTAAGGGGTCCATAAGTTCCAAGGGCCGAGGGGTACAGGGCCAGCGACTGCAAACAAAAAGTAGTCGGAGGTCTGGGAGCCTCCAAATCGAGGAAAAGGATTCAAGAGTCACAGTTTCCGTTGTTGTTTTCCTAGTTGTCCTCCACATCCTAAGTGTTTGTTGGTTTTCTTTGGGTACCCCGCGCAGGAACACACCCGCATCACCATTACACTCATGGGTCTCGCCGTCATCATCGTCATCACCATGCAGCATGGACCATGCAATCGCTCACGCTCACACACTCACTCACAATCACCATTCATCATCGTCATCATTCATCTTGGCCATACACTCACACACTCACGTACACACCTGAAGAGACGTCTCGTGCGGGAATCCCCTCCCTGAGGGGCCCGCGCTTCATGTTGGTAATCCGAACGCTTCATCTGGATATTCTACCAGGCGTAGCACTTGAGCACCCCAATGGAGCCAAATCGTGAGGATGCCTCGGGTGGGGGCCTCTTCTGTGTTTGAATTGCGAGGACGTCTCAGGCCGCAACCCCCTCTCTATGGAGCCCGCACTCCATGTCAGTAATCCGAGCGGGTCATCGGGAGATTCTGTCGGGCGCAGCACTTGATCATTCCAAGGGGACAGATCGTGAGAATGTCTCGAGCGGAGGACTTCATCTATGAGTGAATTGCAAGGAACTGTCAGGCGGCAGACCCCTCCCTGTGGAGCCCGCACTTCATGTTAGTAATCCGAGCGGGCCGTCGATAGATTCTACAAGGCGTAGCACTGGAGCACCCCATGGCGGCAGATCGTGAGGATGCCTTAAGCGGGGACCTCGTGTGTGAGTGAATTGTGAAGGCCTCTCGCGTGTGAGCCCATGATGGTAATCCGAGCGGGTCGTCGGGATATCTCACCAGGCGTAGCACTTGAGCACCCCAAGGGAGGTCCGAGGACGTCTCGAGCGAGAGCCCCTTCCCTATGGGGCCCGCTTGTCATCGGAATAGATCCTACCAGGCATAGCACTTGAGCACCCCAAGGGGGCAAATCGCATTGATGATTTGACCGGGGGCCTCGTTTGCGCGTGTGAATTGCGAGGAAGTCTTAGGCGGGAGCTCCCTTTCTAGGGGGCCAGCAGCTCTTATTAGCAATCCAAACGGGTCATCGGGATATTCTACCGCGTTGCACTTGAGCACCACAAGGCGTTCAATCGTGAGGATGTCTCGAGCGGGGGCCTCGTTTGTGTTCGAAGTGCGAGGAACTCTCAGACGGGGGGCCCCTCCTTATTGGGCCCGCAGAGCACGTTAGCCTTCCGAGCGGGTCATTGGATCATTGCAGCAGGCATCGCACTTGAGCACTCAAAGGGGACAGCTCGTTTGGACGTCTCGAGAGGGGGGCTTCGTTTGTGAGTGAATTGCGAGGAAGTCTCAGGCGGGAGTCCCGTCAGTATGGGGCCCGCAGATTATGCTAGTAATCCGAACGAGTCACCGGCCTATTGTAGCAGGCCTATCACTTGTGCATCCCAAAGGCGCAAATCGTGAGGATGTCTCGAGCGGGGGCCTCGCCTGTGAGCGCATAGCGAGGAAGTCTCAAGCGGGACCCCCCACCTTATGGGGTTCGCAGGATCAACAAGTTCCACAGGTCGTACGGCGCATTCTGGTTTCCTCGCATCGTGGCAGCATCTTCATCGTCGATAGTAGTCGGTGGAGGTGAGCTTGATCCACATTGAAGAGTTTATCATGGGGGGTTCTTCCGTTAAAATCATTTTGGCCTCGGGGGGGTGCCCTCCTCGCCACTGCTGGATTGGCCTCGTCTTCCTCTTCACAGGGCGCTCCAGGACAATCCCCTGGGCTCGATTTTGGAGGCGCGGACGTGGGCGTCAGGGGCCAGCAGGGGCGGTGTCTGGCGCACATTTCTCTGCACAGGGAAGCTGAAAAAACTGCCAGGGCCAGGCCCTCCTACTTTCTCCGGCCCTGGCCAGTCTCCCTCTAGCTGTTCTAGTCCTGGCGACCTCATCCCAACTACTTCGTGATCGTTTCGACCCCTGCCAGTTTTGCCAGGCCTCACGACCTCCATGTTTAACGCTTTCATGTTTAACGCTGTCATGTTTAACGCTTGTAGGTTCCCGGGAGCTTCCCGCGACATCTTGGTGGCTGGGGCCCCGCGGAGCTCGGCGAACAGTCTTCAGATCGGGGGCGCTCTTTCAGCCTCTCGTGGGCCGCGCCACGATTCAGAACCCTCCACATCCGGAGGGGGAGGGGGGGGCGGGGGCGTCCTCCGCCCCCCTCTCTCGTTCCGAGACCTCCGCTCCTCCCGACGCGCCCTCCCATCCCCGGCATGAAGAAACAAGGTCCTGAGGGAGAGAGGTCCTGCGGTTCGGCATCTGGATCAAAGAACAAATCATTATCGATGAGGATTGTCCCAGGGGAGAGCCACAGGGGTTCAGGCCCGTTTCTTCCATGGCAGCTCCCCGCCAGTTCCCGCTCTCTCCTGATCCTCCCTCCCCCTCTGCCCCCCCCCCTTTCCCTCCCTCCACCTCCCGTCCACCTCCCCCTTCCCTCACTTCTCCTCCTCCCCAGCCTGGGAAACTTTAGAGAAACATCTGGTATGAGGGTCGGTGCAGAAACGACACGGCGGGGGCCCCTGGATCGGGCCCGCGCGCCCCCAAGAGGTCACCGCAAAGAGGGCAGGTCGAGAGCCTGGAGGTTATAATGTCTTTCAATTGGGTTTCGTCGGCGTTCGTTATACTCGCACCCTTTCATACGTGTCGGTAGATTTTCGTTACGTGTTGAAGGTTTTCTCGCCTCGGCATGCTTTCCAGCAGTTGCGAGTCGCCAGCAGCGATCTTGGGGTGCCCAGATCGTCCCGAACGGCCCCTTGACACTTGCGTTATGACCAGAAAACCGTTTTTTGGATGATTATCGTTTCAATCGCGAGTGGTGTTTTCATCTTTGTTTCTGGGCGGCTGTTTTCGGGGGCCGCGGATGGGACAAATCACAATGTCGGATGTCTGGGCCCACGGCTTTGTGGCTTCAATTCAGAGGCGCTGCAACGAGCAGCCCTGCCCAATGGACTGCAAGCTCGACGACTGGGGCGGCTGGAGCGCCTGCAGTGCTGGCTGCGGCGGTGGCATCACGGAGCGTGTGCGGGGCATCCAGTCGCAGCCCAAGCACGGGGGCAAGCCTTGCGGGTCTACGTTTGAGAGCAAGAGTTGCAATGCGGAGGCATGTGACCCTGATTGCGTGCTCTCCGAGTGGACAGGGTGGTCAGAGTGCTCCAAGCAGTGCGACGTGGGCTTCAAGGAGAGGGAGCGCACACTGCTGACGCCCGCAGGGGGCCAGGGAGGCTGCCCAGCCGAGGATTCCCTCGACCGCCTTGAGTACATGCACTGCAACACGCACGCGTGCGTACCTGCACACGGCGACAGTCTCAGGTGCAGCTGGTTGTGATTGCCGTGATGCCCAGTCAAGGCAATAACAAAATAATACGTACAGAATATCGGAGGTACATTCCGAACAGTTCAGTGAGTCAGCGCGATGTTTGTTGCGACCGATAAATGTTTCCACGTTCGCAGTTCATCCCCCATCCGTGCAGAGCTTGGGCATGCTTTCCTGATGTGGGGGCCGAAGACATCTGGGGAGCTTGAGACAGGGACTCGCATTCGGCGCGTCTCGCCTTCGGCGGAAAGTGTCGGAAGTAAAACGTCGGTGAGTCTGCCGGCGGAAGTCGGCGGCGGAGGCAAAGTGATACGTCAACATGGTGTTATTCAGGGTTTCTGACGTCGACCATGTGAGGCCATCTCTTCTTGCAGGTCTGGCGCTGTGGGCCTGCTCTCGCGACCGAGCCAGGGCTCGAATGACATCGCCAGGCCAGTTTCGGGCACGGGCTCAGGTAGTGCCAATTTGCAGGATTCTCCTCCGCGGCCGCCGCCTCATCTATACGTAGCACCCGGCAGTTGCGGATAAGAGTGAGGGGGCAACGAGGACGTCAGTTTGCGAGGCTCTGAAAAAGCCCGACGCAGCGCCTGACTTATACAATGTATGCAGTGAGCCAGGCGCAGGCGCCGATTTTTTCGTTAAAGCAATATGGGTGGATCGCGGGGTGGATCGCGGGTGGGTAGCGTATGGGTCGCGGACCGGTTCGCGGGTGGGTCAGTGTGGGTCGTGGGTGGGTCGCGGGTGGGTCGCGGGTGGGTCGCGGGGCGGGGTGGGTCGCGGGGTGGATCGCGGGGTGGGTCGCGGGGTGGGTCGCGGGGTAGGTCGCGGGTGGGTCGCGGGGTGGGTCTCGGGGTGGGTTGCGGGTGGGTCTCGGGCGGGTCACGGGGTGGGTCGCGGGGTGGGTCGCGTATGGGTCGCGGGGTGGGTCGCGGGGTAGGTCGCGGAGTGGGTCGCGGGGTGGGTCGCGGGGGGTGGGTCGCGGGTGGGTCGCGGGCGGGTCGCGGGGGGGGACGACGACAACAACAACAGTAAGCATAATCCCCACCACGCATCCCTTCTTCAGCCACGCACCCAGGGACAATGAATGACCGTTCGGCCCCCTCATTTTGACATATATATATATATATATATGTATATATCCCTGGGGGCGAGGCCGGGGGCCCCAGGACAGGTGCCTCGACCCCCCACGGCGGGACGGGGGGGGCCTGGAGCCTCCCTGGAGCAGCCCAGGCGGCCCAAGAGTGCCCCAAGAGCGCTCCACGACAGGCCCAGCAGGCTCCAAGAGGCCCAAGAGGGCGCCAAGCGGGCCCCAAAGATGCCCAAGATAAGCCCAAGACGGCCAAAGAGGCCCCCAAGACGCTCCAAGAGGCCTCCAAGAGGCCCCCCCAGAGGGCCCCAAGAGGCCAATATCGTTCATTTTACGAAGGTTTTGGACACATTTTGCCTTTCCCGCCTTTTCAGCTTTCCGGCGCTCCACGACGGCTCAAAGGCCCCCCGCGGACGCCCCAAGACAGCCCAAGAGGCCTCCAAGAGGGCCTCAAGACGGCTCTGGAGGGAGAGGCCCAAGACGGCCCCAAGAGGGCCCCAAGAGGGGACCCGCGAACCGGAAATTCGAGCCTTCCGCCTCCACAGGGTCCCGGGAGGCCCCAAAGGGGCCCCAAGAGGCCCCAGGAGACCCCCAAGAGGCACCCAGGAGGCCCAAACAAGGCTTCAAGAGGCTCCCAAACAGCCCCGAGGAACCTCACAACGGACGGTGCGGACAAGTCGCATTTCGGACCGCCGCCGCCGCCGGTCCAAGAAAACGGCCTCCTGGACGCCATGCGCGCCGTAGCCTTCCTGCGGTGGCACCTCCCGCCCCGGGCCAGCGCAGAGGCCCTCGGATCCCAGAGAGAATTCTCCGCCGTCGTCGGCGTCGTCGTCGTCGACGCCGTCCCCGCCCTGGTCGCCCCTTGGGACCGCGCTCGCCCCTTCGACTTCTCGGCTCGCCTCCCACCGATGTTCTTGTCGCCCTTCGACTTTCGGAGGCTCCTCCCGGGGTCCTGGGTCCAGTGCTCCGGCCTCTCCAGAGCGCTTCAAGTGGCCGAAATCGGTAATTTCACGAAGGTTTTGGAGAGATGTAGCCTTTTCGGCTGTCCGACGTTCCAAGACGGCCCAATAGGCCCCCAAGATCGCCCAAAGACGGCCCAAGAGGGCTTCCAGACGACCCCAGAGGCGCCCAAGACAGCCCAAGAGAGTCCCAAGACGGCCCCAAGATGCGCCCAAGAGGGGATCACGACTCCAAAATTCGACCCTCCTGTTTGAAGAGTGCCCCAGGAGGCCCCAAGGAGCCCCCAAGGGGCCCCAGGAGGCTCCCGAGAGGCACCCAGGAGGCCCAAACGAGGCTTCAAAAGGCCACAAAACAGCCCCGAGGAGGCCCCACAACGGTCCCAAAACGGTTGCCGAGAATATGCGAAACTGCCTTCACGACGTTCCCGACAGGCCACCCACGAGATCCAAACCAACACCCATGAGGCCTCTGACCCACCACCTAGGGCACCCGCCGCCCGTTCGCCGTCCGCGTAGCACGCACCACTCTGTACTCAACAGCTTCAGTCTCCAAGACAACACCCTGTAGTCAACAGCCCCCGTCTTCAAGGCAACACCCTGTGCTCAACAAGCTCCCGCTGCAAGAGAGCACCCTTAAGGAATTCATTCAAATCCCGACCCGCCCGCCCGCCCGCCACCCGCCCGCCCGCCGCCTGCCTGGCCGCTCGCCCGCCTTCCGCGTAGCACGCGCCACCCTGCACTCAACAGCCTCCGCTTCCAAGACAACACCTAGCATTCAACAGCCCCCAGCGCTCCCGGGACTGTCCGGGTCCGCTCCCAAACACGCCACGACACGCCAAGAGGGCCCTAAAGATTGCCAAGACAGCCTCAAGAGGCCCCGGACACGCCGAAGATGGCCTCAGGACGGCCGACGACGCCGCCAAAACGCCCCAAGAGCGCCTTCAGAGCCCCCTCCAAAGGGCCCCGCATTTTTGCGCTCTCGCATGTTCCGCCTCCCCACGGTCCCGGACGGCGTCAGAGGCCGTTCAGATCGCTCCAAGACGGCCGAAGAGGTTCCCAAGAAAGACTAGAGATGGCCCAGGAAGCTCCCCAGATAATTCAAGAGGGCCTCGAGAGCGCCCCAACAGAGCCCCAAGAGCGACCCAAGAGGGCCCGAAGAGCGCGACATTTCAAGGTCTCCAGCCTGAGAGGCTCCTAGGACGCCCCCGGAGGCCATCACTCCCAAGAAGCCCCGTGAGGCTCCCAAGAGGCCTCCCGGAAGCCCCAATGAGTTCCCAAGGGACCCCAGGGAAGCCCCCTGCGGGCCCCCAAGAGACCTCGGTAAGTCGTATTTCCCAGAGCTTTCCGGGAACATGATTCCTTGGGCTTCCGCCCCCCGCCCCAACCATGTTTCCAATAGGCTTGCCGACAGGGCCACTAAGCAAGCCCCCAGAAGCCCCCTGTTAGGAGAGCCGAACAAATCATGTTCCTGGAACGCTTCCCGGGAACATGATTCTCGGGTCGCCGCTTTCCCCCCAAACCATGTTCCCCAAACGCCTGCCAGGATAAAAACACGAGAGTCCCAAGCAGCGCTACCTGCCGTCACGCTCGGAAGCGCGTCAGGCTCCGAAGCCTCCGGAGGCGCCCAACGACACCCCAACAAATCATGTTCCCAGGAAGTCTTACGGTCAGTGCCGCCGACGTTGAAGGAGGACGGTCCAGGACACCCAGAAATCTCCCAAACAGGCTTCCAAGAGGGCGCCGAGACAGCCCACGGCCGCCCCCAGACGGCCCAAGAAAACCCCAACACAGACGAAAAGGGCCGCAAGAGGCCCCCAGGAGGCCCCGAAACGAGGACATATCGTTCGAACACGCCCAAGATGGCCTCCAGACGGCCCACAAGGCTTCCAACACGGCCCAAAGGGACGCCAAAATCATTGATTGTCCTTCGATGTTTGATGGATTTCAGACACCCCACGAGGGCGCCGAGACGGCCCACGAGGGTGCCGAGACGGCCCAGGGACGCCCTGCCGCGGGCACGAGGTGGGGCCCGGGATGGGGCCCTCGCACCGGGAGGCCCGGGGCCCTGCCGTGGCGCTGGGGGCCTTGTAAAGTCGCCAGAAGACGGCCTTGGATTCCCAGAAATGGCGTCTCCAGACAACGAACACGACCAATGACCGCCCGAAATCACCCCAGAATTGGTCACTGACTGTCCAAGAGGCCTCCAAGACGCCCCAAGAGGTCTCCAAGATGGCTCCCAAGGAGCCCCAGGAGGCACAACTAATTTGTTCCTTTGGTTTTTGATCGATTTTCGAGTTCTCGCCTTTTGAGTTTCCTGACGCTCCACGCGAATGTTCTTGAAGTGTTTACATGATTTGGGCGCTCTCGCCTCTCCTGGTGGCCGACGCTCCAACGCGGCCCAAGAGACCTTCAAGACCACCCCCGGACGGCCAAGAGGCCGCCAAGCGGGACCCAAGACAGCCAGAGAGCGCCCCAAAACTCCCAAGGGGCGCCAAAACGGCCTAAGATGACGGCCCAAGCGAGGAAACACGAACCGAGAAACCGAGCCTCCGCCCCAACAGCCCCCAGGAGGCCCCAAGAGGCGCCCGAGACGCCCCAAGAGGCCCCAAAGAAACCCCAAAACGACCCCCAAGAGGCTTCAAAACTGACTCTAAGAGGCCCCCCGAGAGACCTCCCACGAGATCCCAACGAACATCCAGTAGACCTCGCACCCACAACCCAGACGCTGTGGCGGGACGGGCCGAAGGCCAATACTTACATGTGTATATGTATATATACATACATATATATATATATATATATATATATATATATATATATATGCGAACATAAACATATACATAGTATGTGCGTGTATATATATATATATACACTAGAACCATCGCGCGCGCTTCGCGCGCGCTCAGGTTCTAGCCCAGGCCGGGGGGGCGCTGGACGATTTTGGACAACG